TTGGATTTATCAGCCATTCCAGGTTTTAAGAAGGTGGAGAAAAATGCAAATGTGGCCCAACAAAACGGGGTGACCATCACTCCTTTAGTCTGGAATGCATTCTTGAGCCAGCAGATATTTTGAAAACGCGAAATACTTCCCTCTGAAGTACAGTACCAGTCAAACGTTTTTGCACACACTGAGATTTTCTTCATTTGCATGTTAGTCACTTAACATTTGCCAAAAATACACTCAATATTCTTTGATAACTAATAAATTTACAGTATTTGAGTACCTTTATCAGCAAGAAAATGTCATATCTTTGATTCATCAAAGTATCCTCCAGCAATTGTAACAGCAGAGAAAATTCAAGGCATTCTTTCTACAAGGGACATGAAATACTGCTGTGTTTCATGGGATGAAACCGTCAGCCAGTACGTGTAACATCAATGGACAGCCTAGAATTTTACTATGGCATCACCACACAACCAGTTAATAGGATGTCACACATGCACTTTTACATACTCTTTCCATGCTATAAAGGAAACTTTTTTTATTTGAGTTATTTTTCATTTATAGTTGTTCAATTAACCTTCCAATGCTGAACAACAACAATACAAAATCTGCAGTGTATGAAATAAATGGAAAAGTGGCAAAAACCTGTGGTGTATAAACACTGTGGTTTGTTTTATGTTCCATAATAAGCTAAACAACAGAACCCCCCCCCCAACTGAGCACGGTGCTCCCAGAAGGAGAGGGGTAGGTCTTTGTGTGCCTCTGGTTTCCGTTCCATGGAAGCCTGAATTCCCTGTGACCCCGACCTGCAGTGCTGCTCACTCCTCTGGCATGTTCTTTTTCCTGTATTTAAAGCGCGATTGGTCGTGAGCCTTCACGACAAGCCTCGCAAGTTCGCAAAGGGGAGAAATCTGACCACTCACCGATGAGCATGCACGCAGTGGAGACAGGAAAGCGAGCACACGCGCAGTGGAGACGGGAAAGCGAGCACACGCGCAGTGGAGACGGCAAAGCGAGCACACGCGCAGTGGAGACGGCAAAGCGAGCACACGCGCAGTGGAGACGGCAAAGCGAGNGCGCAGTGGAGACGGCAAAGCGAGCACACGCGCAGTGGAGACGGCAAAGCGAGCACACGCGCAGTGGAGACGGCAAAGCGAGCACACGCGCAGTGTGGTCATGACATGCCAGGAGGGGATGCTGAATTTTGTCAATTGGCTTTCCCAGGTCCCGGGACTTGTGAGAGAGCTGTGGGGCTGAGCAGCAGCCAATCACGAGGAAAAACCGGCTGATTGGCTGGCAGCCTCTGCCCCCCCCCCCCCCCCTCGGCCCACCCCTGTCAGCATAGCACAGGCCTGAGTTCTGCTGTACACAGTGATTGCCTGCAGCCATAACAGTATCTCTGCAGATTGTGTGTGTATATAGGTGCTTGCTCTGTTTATGTATTTACATCAGTGCTTCTCTGTACAGCAGCTGCTGCTATTTTTTTTATATTTTTCACCTTTCACTAATTACTAGAATAGATACCTAAACCTTCGCCATTCTTCCCAATGCTCAATTACGTTAAGCACAGTGATCCTTTTATCCGACGCTGCTGTACAGAGACGTTCCTGTTCACACTTACTAGGCTGCATCTGAGGCTGTCAGTGAGCTGAGCTAATGGGCCCTGGGCTTAGCTGGTGTCTCGGCCAGGCAGTCGTCCCCAGGGCCACCACCGCCAGCCACTCACAGTTCATTATGGAGTCTCCCTGCACGCCAACAACGTGACACTGCCACTTATTTTGGAGACTCAGAATTTTATTTGTGACATCAGAGTTATACTGGTATAATTAGCAATGAAAGTCCGGCATTTTCCTGCGATTATGCAAAAATGGGAGTGTGGGTAGTATGAGAACAGGATGAATAGAAGTTAAATACAAGGCTGTGTATAAAAATGCTGTACAAAGATGGAATTCAGAAGAGCATTACACAGCTGAGATGTTTGGGGATGCTTTGTTTTTCCTCCATCACCTCTTCGCCCTTGTGCTCGGTAGGACACAGCAGGACAGGAGAGGTACAGGACCATCACCACCGCCTACTACCGCGGAGCCATGGGCTTCATCCTGATGTATGACATCACCAATGAAGAGTCCTTCAACGCCGTGCAGGACTGGTACGTCGTCTCCCAAGCAGACGGGGGCTGCGTGCATTACCCCACCCTCTGGAAAGCCTTTCACTCATTTAGGGCTATCACTATTGATTATATTAATAATCGAGTTATCTACCGATTGATGATTCATTGAGTAATCATATAAAATAATATAAATTGCAAAATGCACAAGGCAGGAACTAACCAGACATTGCAGGGTGCGCATTCAGTCACACATCCGGTGAATGGAGGCACTCCAATTCACTTAAGTTTGTTTTTGGATAGTATAAGGAAATTGGCGTATCTGCCGAAAGGGCAGCCACACACAGGGTGGGCATGCAAACTCCGCACCGAAGCGGCGTTGCGTGGCAACAGAGCTACCCAGTGTGAGGCTGTGCTGCGAGGCTGTGCTGCGAGGCTGTGCTGCGAGGCTGTGCTGCGAGGCTGTGCTGCGAGGCTGTGCTGCGAGGCTGTGCTGCGAGGCTGGCACACTGTGACATGTTAATATCCACATGGCATTTCATGCACATACAGGTGTCACATATCAAGTACTGCGATAATCTGCTGGACTTGAACCATCAATAAGTTGCGCTAAAACATTTGACTTGGTCATAGGAAACCAAACTTAGCAAGCTCGGCAAAAGTGAACAGGAACTGTGAAATTCATATTCCGCGCTATGGAAATGTTTTGTATTTCATAGTGACAATATTGAGCAAAAGCAAGTGACTTGTCAGCACTGCTTTGTGTCTGTTGGCACAATTCATGGCACCAGCTTATGTGACAGACTCTGCTGGAAGTTCTACGTTTGGCTATATAGTTAATTTTCAACTCCTAAATATCGCAGTATGATTTTTTTTTTCTAGTGTTGTTCAGCCCTACTCAAAACACATAATATGTTAACAAAAAAATATTAATTGCCTATTATGTACCACATTATGTAAGATGACATGACTAAGAAATGGGGTAACCTTTGTTTTTTACAGAGATTATTTTGATAAGCAAAATAAATTAAGTGGAAGTGATGGCAAAGACAGACTAGGCTACTTCGAGAGGCTAAAAGGATCGTATCTATGGTTACCTCGCATTATTGGGAGAGGCCATCAAACCTGAATATCTTCTTTTAAAACATGTTTTGGGTGCAGCGTGTGGCTTAGTGGGCTAAGCCTCTGCTTGTGATCAGAAGGTCGCCGGTTCGAGCCCAGCCTCGGCACATCTGTGGCTCCTGGAACAAGGCCCTTGACCCCCAGCTCCCTCAGTCTTGCTATGCCCTTGCTATGCCGCTGCCCTTCGCGGCCAGGTTGCTCCCCCCAATAGAGAATAGGTTGGGGGAGGCAAAAAGAGAATTTCCCTCTGGGGGTCAATAAAGTATCTGTTATGATTATTTGCTTTGCATTCATGCCGTGGTGGTGATGTCCAAGTTCTGCTTTGCATAGCTGACAGACGATTTCTTTCTCATTACCTTTTAATGTGAAGTGCTTCCCCATCAGTCTCTTTCTCTCTTTATCTGGACACTCATCCGCTATGCGCTGTCTTCTTTCCGCCATATTGTCAAGTAATCGAGAAGTAAAATTTTAATCAAAGCTTTTAAATAATCAAGTAATCGAGTTTAATCGTGACAGCTTTTGACTCATGTCAAATGTAACACTGTTAAAATAGCATCCTAACTTCTGAGATTCTCATATTTAAACCCAATTCCGCCTCCAGCCTCTCAGTCTCTTCCAGCTTCTGTTTCTCGCTTTTCCCTGAATCCCTGAAGTTGGGAAAAGCACTTTGGATGACGCCAGAATTCTCCCTGGGAATTAATGTGATGGTGCCAAGCACCATCTGTGATCCACATGCCAGGCAGGCCTGAAAATGGCAGTCTGACTGCATATGAGGGATTAACGGCTCTGTTTGCCTTTCAACCAGTTTTAGTGACTTGATTTAAAGATGATTCTTAAGGGTTAGTTGCAGCTGGAAGCCGGTTCTTCTGAGATGTTCTGACACACAGGTACTACCAGATTTCACTCTGGGTTGAAGATGTTCTCCTGAACCCAGGATCTCTGCTTCATTCCCAGTGTGACCATTATTTCCCAGTGAACGTGATGAACAGAGACTGCTTCAACCAAACCTTCTGCCTCCTTTGTCCCGCAGGTCCACGCAGATTAAGACGTACTCGTGGGACAACGCACAGGTACTGCTGGTGGGAAACAAGTGTGACATGGAAGACGAGAGGGTGGTGTCGGGAGACCGAGGCAGGCAGCTGTCCGAACACTTGGGTGAGTGACTGTGAAATGCCGCTCGTCCCTCAGGGGGCGCCACCTCTCAGGATTGGGTGTGGATTCGCCATGTTTCCCTTGTGATATTCCCACCAGCAGCTCCCTGTCTTCATTTTATAAGCTGTATTGTCATTCTCCCTCTGCCCAGGCTTCGAGTTCTTTGAGGCCAGTGCCAAAGACAACATCAACGTAAAGCAGACCTTCGAGCGCCTGGTAGATATCATCTGCGAGAAGATGTCTGAGAGCTTGGATGCAGCCGATCCAGCCATCACAGGGGCCAAACAGGGGCCGCAGCTTACCGAGCAGCCTGCTGCCTCCCACCAAGACTGCGCTTGCTAGACATCCCTCTCGCCCCCCCCCCCCCC